CATCTTGGACCGTCTTGGGTGCATCTTGGAGCCATCTTACCCGTCTTGGAGGCCATCTTGGCCGTCTTGGAGGCATCTTGGAGGCCATCTTGGGCCATCTTGGCCGTCTTGGAGGCCATCTTGGGCGTCTTGGAGGCCTCTTGGGCCGTCTTGAGGCTCTCTTGGGGCCTTCTTGGGGGCCTCTTGGGCCGTCATGGGGCCATCTTGGAGGCCTCTTGGGTGCTGTTGGGCGATGTTGGGGACCTCTTGGGCCGTCTTGGGCCGTCGGAGAGCTGAAAAGAAGAACATGCCAAAATCCTTGAAAAACCTAAGGAAAATCAATGATTTTAACCTATTCGGGCCTTCCTGGAGGGCGTCTTGGAGGGCTCTTGGGCCGTCTTGGAGGCCTTTTGCGGCCTTTTGGGCCGTCTTAGACCATCTTGAGGCCATCTTGGGCCGTCTTGGGTGCATCTTGGAGCCATCTTACCCGTCTTGGAGGCCATCTTGGCCGTCTTGGAAGCATCTTGGAGGCCATCTTGGGCCATCTTGGCCGTCTTGGAGGCCATCTTGGGCCAAGTTGGGGCAACAAAGGCATTGACAGATGGATTTTCGGAAACTTGCGGGTGGCCGGCGGGACGGGCCGAAGCCCACTGGGGAGTTCTTTTAGAAAAAGAACCAAAACCAAAACCTGAAACATCCAGCACGCCGTGCACCCCTGTGGCAAGACCACAGGGGGCGGCGGATCCAAGACGCCTACGGCGAATCACCGCCGCCCCCTGCCCTTTCGGAAGCGCCGATGCGGCCGACTGCTGTGGCCAGAGGTCTGCCAAGTTATTGGGCCATATGTTCCCCGAATCGGTCTTTACAGCCTTCGGGGAACACGTGGGGGAGGACGGGGAGGAGAGGAGAGATAGGAAGGGGGGGAATGGAGGAGGAGGGCTCTTGAGTGCCTTTTTGGCTACTCTGGGTTTATATTGGGCCACATGTGCGGTCTTGGAAGCATCTTGGGGGCAACATGCCAAAATCTTTCAAAAACCTAAGGAAAATTAATGGTTTTAACCTATTCGGGCCTTCCTGGAGGGCGTCTTGGAGGGCTCTTGGGCCGTCTTGGAGGCCTTTTGCGGGCCTTTTGGGCCGTCTGAGACCATCTTGAGGCCATCTTGGACCGTCTTGGGTGCATCTTGGAGCCATCTTACCCGTCTTGGAGGCCATCTTGGCCGTCTTGGAGGCATCTTGGAGGCCATCTTGGGCCATCTTGGCCGTCTTGGAGGCCATCTTGGGCGTCTTGGAGGCCTCTTGGGCCGTCTTGAGGCCCTCTTGGGGCCTTCTTGGGGGCCTCTTGGGCCGTCATGGGGCCATCTTGGAGGCCTCTTGGGTGCTGTTGGGGCGATGTTGGGGACCTCTTGGGCCGTCTTGGGCCGTCGGAGAGCTGAAAAGAAGAACATGCCAAAATCCTTGAAAAACCTAAGGAAAATCAATGATTTTAACCTATTCGGGCCTTCCTGGAGGGCGTCTTGGAGGGCTCTTGGGCCGTCTTGGAGGCCTTTTGCCGGCCTTTTGGGCCGTCTTAGACCATCTTGAGGCCATCTTGGACCGTCTTGGGTGCATCTTGGAGCCATCTTACCCGTCTTGGAGGCCATCGTGGCCGTCTTGGAGGCATCTTGGAGGCCATCTTGGGCCATCTTGGCCGTCTTGGAGGCCATCTTGGGCGTCTTGGAGGCCTCTTGGGCCGTCTTGAGGCCCTCTTGGGGCCTTCTTGGGGGCCTCTTGGGCCGTCATGGGGCCATCTTGGAGGCCTCTTGGGTGCTGTTGGGGCGATGTTGGGGACCTCTTGGGCCGTCTTGGGCCGTCGGAGAGCTGAAAAGAAGAACATGCCAAAATCCTTGAAAAACCTAAGGAAAATCAATGATTTTAACCTATTCGGGCCTTCCTGGAGGGCGTCTTGGAGGGCTCTTGGGCCGTCTTGGAGGCCTTTTGCGGGCCTTTTGGGCCGTCTTAGACCATCTTGAGGCCATCTTGGGCCGTCTTGGGTGCATCTTGGAGCCATCTTACCCGTTTGGAGGCCATCTTGGCCGTCTTGGAAGCATCTTGGAGGCCATCTTGGGCCATCTTGGCCGTCTTGGAGGCCATCTTGGGCCAAGTTGGGGCAACAAAGGCATTGACAGATGGATTTTCGGAAACTTGCGGGTGGCCGGCGGGACGGGCCGAAGCCCATTGGGGAGTTCTTTTAGAAAAAGAACCAAAACCAAAACCTGAAACATCCAGCACGCCGTGCACCCCTGTGGCAAGACCACAGGGGGCGGCGGATCCTAGTGGCCTTCGGCCCATCCCGCCACCGTGTCTGGGTTGTAAGTCTGAGGCCTCTTGTATATGTGTTGGGGTGTTGTGAGGGGGCCTCTCGGGGGCCTCTTGTAGGTGGTTTCAGCGCCTCTTGGGGGCCTCTGAGGGCCTCGTGGGGTATCTTTTGGGCCTCTTGAGGCCTCTTTGGCGCGTCCTTGGCGCCTCTTGGGGCTTCTTGGGGCCTCCTGGGGGCTTCTCGGGGCTTCTCGGAGTGCTTCTTGGGCCATCTTGGAGCCCCCTCGGGCCGTCTTGGGGCCCTCTTGGAGGCGTGTTGGGTTATCTTGGGGCGATATTGGGAGCTTCTTGAGCCATCTTGGAGCGTCGGACAGCCGAACATCCGAGAACCCCAAGCTTCTTCAAAAACATGTTGTAACATCGACGATGTTGGCCTCTTGGGGCTCTCTCGGGGGCCTCTTGGAGCGTTCTTGGGGCCTCTTGGGGCCCTCTTGGGCCGTCTTGGAACCATCTTCGGGTGCCTGTGAGCACACTTGGCCTCGGCAATGCGAATATGCTGTAATGTGCAAGGGTTTCTTGCCACGTGGACCCGACTATATAATACTTTGCACTGGTTGGTTGCCTCGGGGACGAAAGCATTTAGCAATTTGCGAGGGTTTGTGGCCTCGGGGACGCGAACACGGTAAATTTTACAAGTGATTCTGGCTTCGGGGACGCGATTGTTGCGCAATTTGTAAGGTATTGTGGCCTCGGGGAGGGCAACGCGATTCGGGGAGGGCAACCAGGCCCTTTTCAGCTCCCCCCCCTCGCGCGGACTGCAACAATGTACAATAGGAAGAAGGAAGCAGGACTGTGACACTGCACACTGGAAACTGCAGCTGGCGCAGGGAGCAGCACGTCCGATCCTCGCAGCCTGATAGCCCCACAGGGGGGCCAGCGGATCCTGAAAAACTTGTATATGTCCGAGTACAGCGCCATGGAAAGAGGCTGCATTGTTCTCGAAAGGTGGTTGTCGCTCCAGCGCCGCGCACGTTCGTCACCGAGGCCTCCCACAGCTATGCAAGGATCGAGGGCGTGTGGTATACAGGATGTGGCTCTCGCATTGCCGTCGCGCGCATACGTGAAACGATCGTGCAGTTACAATGGGATGAGTAGAATTTAGATTCCCTTGATGGTGGGCGGATTGTTTTCAAAAGCGTCTATCGCCGTCGCGCCGCGCGTTTTCGTCTTGACACATTTCCACATATAGGGAATCACCATTTAAGATACGGCTCCCGCTTGAGATGCGATCCAAACAGATCGTTGCACTTGCAACGCTGAGTTGCAGCTAGATGGACAGAGGGCGCTCTTTTTCAGAACGGGCATCTCGTTTGTAGAAATCTGGCCAGAAGTGAACGCTGTGCACAAGTTACATTGGTGGAGGGCGCGCTCCCTTTCAAAACGGGGCTCTCGCTGAACAGCCCCTGGCGTTGTATAATGCGGCCTCTTCCCGATGCTTTTAGCCGGAGGGTTGCAAGGCACTTCTTCTTCAAATTAAAAGAGGCCCGCGCTTGAGTCGCAAGCCCATGGGGTGCCCGTCTTCTGGGGGATCGTTCCTGGCGGCGCACAGGGGTCAGTGCAAGGTCTTGTGCGGAGGGGCCGGCGGACGGGAGCGTGTTCTGCAGCACCTTCTGCGCGTGGTCCTCCGCCCCCTCGCGCTCCAGGCTGGGGCGGAGCACTTGGACCAGTTGAGCCTCCTGTCTGACGGCCGTTCCCCGCGTCGCCGCACCGGTCGGCCGACGCTGCATTTGTGCGCCTCGGAGGGAATCCCGCGGGACGAAGAATTCCTTTATCCTTCCTCCTCCATCCTCACCCCCCTGGTGCCCAGGCTGTGGGGTCCCAGGGCCCCAGGAGGAGCGCTGTCAAGAGAAGCGCCGAATCAAGCAGTCAGGACAGAGTCCGCGATCAAATGGAGTGTTCCAAAAAGGGATTCACTTTCGAGATTAGCAAGAGCTGTCATCTCTTCCTCGGCGGAAGCCCGCGGAAGGTTGGCGGAAGGCGGCGGAAGTAAAAGGAACGCCCCCCGAGAGATGACATCGTTTTTGGGTTCAGGGTTTCCGAGATCGCAAAAATAGTTCTCAATAGCTTTATTAAGACGGGCATGTCCCTCTACACGAGGAGCTTTCGAAAATAGTCCCAAAAGAGTCAAGGGACGAGGGTTTGGCTAGTTGAGATCTGTCCTCCAGAGTCCGCCTGTAGGAGGACATGTCCGACCTAAGAATCGTTTCCTCCTCCATCCTCGCGCGGTCCGTTGGGGCCTCTTGCGTCGGCGTGGATGGTGCAGCCTCCCTCGGTCTTAGGCCGCGCGGCCAGGGGCGAGGAGCACCGCTGCGCGAGGAGCCGAAGCCTTTTCCTGCTCCCTCCTCCCTTCTCGCTCGTCTTCTTCGGCTTCGTTGTCCTCCTCCTCCTCCTCCTCCTCCTCCTCCTCCTCCTCCCGTTCCTCCTCCTCCTCTTGCTCCTCCTCCTCCTCCGCCTCCGCCTCCGCCTCCGCCTCCGCCTCCTCCTCCTCCTCCTCCTCCTCCTCCTCCTCCTCCTCCTCCTCTCCTCCTCCTCCTCCTCCTCCTCCTCCTCCTCCTCCTCCTCCTCCTCCTCCTCCTCCTCCTCCTCCTCCTCCTCCTCCTCCTCCTCCTCCTCCTCCTCTCTCCCACCCACCCCGCCCCCTCTCCCCCCAAATGCCCCGCCGCAAGGTGCCCGTGGACGCCGTCACCGAGCAGGGGACCATACCCGGCCTGCCGCCCCCCATCCACGGGAAGTGCCGGTACTTCATGGTGCGGTCGTCCGGGGCCATGGAGGGGGAGGAGGAGGAGGAGGAGGAGGAGCAGGAGGAGGAGGAGGAGGAGAAGGCGGAGGAGGAGGAGGAGGAGGAGGAGGAGTAGAAGGAGGAGGATAAAGAGGAGGAGGAGGATGAGGAGGCGGAGGAGGAGGAGGAGGAGAAGGAGGAGGATAAAGAGGAGGAGGAGGAGGAGGATAAGGAGGAGGAGGAGGAGGATTTCAAGGATTTCCGCCATCACGTATTGGTAAGAGGTCGGACGCGAAACGTGCTATACAGTGAAACCACCCCTGAGCCTGCCGAGCGACGGCACCAACAGGGAGACGTGGCACACCACCCGCTCATGCAGAGGGCCAGCGCAAGAAGTCCGAGGAACAAAACTGATACCTCAAGTGAATACCTCCGAACAGCACGAAGCATACACCTTAGGCGATGCTTAAGAAAACCTAAGTTTTCGTCCAGAGTCTCGATGATTCTTAACTTTTCAATGTAAATCCTAAGATTTGAAAGGAAATTTTGGGTTTTTACTCAAGTTCTGAGACTATGAATTTCTTAACCCATGATTTCTTCAGCATTTCGCAGGGTGTACCATGAATACAGGTTGGACATTGCCCGCACCAGCGCCGGCGCCACAACCACACCACGACGTCCCCTGACTGAATGTTCTTTCGTTTCCGCCAGCCGTACATGAACGAGTTGAGTAAACGACGAATATTGGAGCACACGGCCCGGCCCGACCACTCCCAAAACTTGATCACCGACCCGACGTCGGGCATCCCCAGTCAATACCCACGCAGATTGAATGGTTTTTTTATGCTACATGGACAGGCCAAATGACCACAGAATTTGGGAAGCCGAACCTGAAAGTGCATACGAATTGAACAGCCTTGCACCACAATGCCAAGCATAACGAAAATGGGCTGCAGGAGTGTGATGAGAGGCTGCAGCAAAAACACCTTGAGGTAATACGCTCGGGTGCGGGCGGGTGGGTCAGTGCACTACCAGACTCCCCCCACGGGCCCCGCACCCGAGACGGACCGCGCCGAAGATGCACAATAAGAAAGCCCAAACGAGAACGACCTGCCCATAAGCGGCCCATCCAGCAGCCACGACAAGAACAGTTGTAAAACAGTGTTGACGAGCTCCAGTTTGTTTCGCCTTTGCCCGAGATCCTGTAAAGTTCGACGTCCGGGTCTTTACACAAGCATTGACAGATCTGCACATTGTTCATCCATGCCGCGTACATCAACACCCACACTACACGCTGTGTGACGGTGATGCCCACGATGGGTAAGTGCAGAAACCGTAGCCCACGAAGCCGAAGTCTTTGCTTTCGCAACCGCTAGAGGCTGTGGACGAAGCCACGGCTGGAGCGGCACCCCCCAAGCACCACGTGGCGGCGCAAGGAGCACTCGAGCCCCGCCAGACACTCTTCTTCCAGCAAGCCAGCGCGTCCATGCCACGCAGGTTGGGAGCCGAAAGGGGGGGGGGGGGCCAGGGGACCTGAGCCGAGATGCTTGAGCCAAAACGGCTTGAGCCAAGATGGCTACGGAGATAACGAGGAAGAGGATATCAAAAGGAGGATGGGGAGGGAGGAGGAGGAGGAGGAGGAGGAGGAGGAGGAAGGAGGAGGAGAAGGAGGAGGGGGGAGGGAGGAGGAGGAGGAGGAGGAGGAGGAGGAGGAGGAGGAGGAGGAGGAGGAGGAGGGAGGAGGAGGAGGAGGAGGGGAGGGAGGGAGGGAGTTACGGAGTTACGTGTATGGCGACTAGGTCGGTTACGATTGGAAGCATATTCAACCCGCTGCTTCCTGGCTCTTCTGGCCTGCTCTCTTTTGCTGTAGACCTGATGCCGCAGACCCTGGAGAAGTCGCTTAGGGAGGGAGGGAGGGAGGTAGGGGAGGGAGGGAGGGGGGAGGGGAGGAGGAGGAGGAGGAGGAGGAGGAGGAGGAGGAAGAGGAGGAGGAGGAGGGGGAGGGGGAGGGGGAGGAGGAGGGGCATGAGGAGGAGGCGGGAGGGGAGGAGGCGGAGGAGGAGGCGGAGGAGGAGGAGGAGGATGGAGAGGAGGGGGAGGAGGGGAGGAGAGGGAGGAGGAGGAGGCGGAGGAGGAGGAGGAGGAGGAAGAGGAAGAGGAGGGAAGCATGAGAAGAAGGAGGATGGGGAGGGAGGGAGGAACAAGATGAATTGTCTCACTGGTGACTGGTGGGGCCTATGATGGTCTGAACAGGTTGAACAGGTGGAGGTGCGTTTTTGGACCCCCTCCTTACGGCCGTCTTCGATGGCCGAGGGGCCACATGGGGGTCCTCAGCCCCCTCCAGTGCCGATTGACGGCATGGTACAGGGGCGTATTGGTGAAATGGTGGGAGAGGGCGGGCCCCAAGCAGCAAAGGAAGGAGGCGGATGATGATGTTGCTGATGATGATGATGATGATGATGATGATGATGATGATGATGATGCTGATGATGATGATGATGATGATGCTGTTGATGATGATGCTGCTGATGATGATACTGCTGCTGCTGCTGATGATGATGATGATGATGCTGATGATGCTGACGATGACGATGATGATGAGGATGATGATGGTGATGCTGCTGATGATGATGCTGATGGTGCTGCTGCTAGTGATGAGGATGTTGATGGTGATGTTGCTGATGGTGATGAAGATGACGATGATAATGGTGATGCTGCTGATGATGATGATGAAGGTGATGGTGACAAAGATGATAATGATGATGCTGCTGTTGATGATGAGGTTGTTGCCGATGATGATGGTGATGATGCTGATGGTGCTGCTGCCGATGCTGATGATGGTGGTGACGATGATGATGATGATGATGATGATGATGATGATGATGATGATGATGATGATGATGAGGAGGAGGAGGAGGAGGAGGAGGAGGAGGAGGAGGAGAGAGGAGGAGGATCAGAACGACGAACGAGGAGGAGGAGGCGGAGGAGGAGGAGGAGGAGGCTTAGACTGAGACATCCCTGGGCGAAGACAAGCAGAGTTACCCGACTGTAGACTCGCTGGGCGGCATGGCAGGTGGCCATTGCAGAGCAGATTCCGCACGGGCACCTGATCCATAGAGGGGCTGGCGGAGGAGGAGGAGGAGGAGGGGGAGGAGGAGGAGGAGGAGGAGGAGGAGGAGGAGGAGGAGGAGGAGGAGGATGAGGAGGAGGAGGAGGAGGAGGAGGAGGAGGAGAAGCAGGGGGAGGGAGGAGGGGAGGAGGGAGGAGGGAGGAGGGAAACGTCGAAGGAGGAGGGCGATGGACGAGGGGAGGGGGCGGTAAGCGGGATGGAGGGGGATGACGATGGCAGAGTTGGAGCAGCAGGAGGACAAGGATGGAGATATGGAGGGAGGTAATGGCAGGTGGAGGAGGGATGCAGACCAGGCGAAGCGAGATTTGGAGGGCTGGCTGAGCGCCACTCCTGCCAGCACGCGGGTGGCCCGTCTGGCGCGTCCTGGCCATTGGGGGTGTAGAGAGTCGACCGCGCACCGGGGGGGGGCGGGAGCGAGAAGGAGGAGCGGGCCTTCTCGGAAGGCTCGGGAGTCCTTGGGCCTCCCGAGAAGTTCCCGGAGCCTCCTCCTGAAGCCACAGGGCGCTCCCCCGCCCCTGCATGGACAACTTCGGCATGCCATGGCGGCCTCGGCGGCCTCGGTCGGCAGGGTCCCGCGCGCTGCCGCGGGCGCTCCCGACCGCCCTGAAGAGCTAAACAGATGCATAAAGCGAAGAGGAGTGGTTCGAGGAGGAGGAGGAGGACGACGAGGAGGAGGGGGATGAAGAAGAGAAGGGGGAGGAGGAAGAGAGAGGAGGATGAGGAGAGAGGAGGATGGGCGAGGAGGAGGAGGCGCAGGAAGAGGAGGAGGAGGAGGAGGAGCAGCAGCAGCAGCGGGAGGAGGAGGAGGAAGAGCAGCAGCAGGAGGAGGAGGAGGAGGAGGAGCAGCAGCAGCAGCAGCATCAGCAGCAGCAGCAGAAGCAGGAGAGAGGAATGGGGGCAGTCCTGAGGCTTCCTACTGTGGCAGACCAGGTCGGACGAGAGAGAGGGGGGGGGGATGATGCGGGACGGAGGCAAGTGCTGGTACTTCATGGTGCGGTCGTGCAGGGCGGTAGACCTCTCTTCTTGCGGGTGTTTTCCTGCCCTTCCGCCGCCGTAGTTTCCTCCTCCTCCTCCTCCTCCTCTTCCTCCTCCTCCTCCTCCTCCTCCTCCTCCATTCCTTTTCCTGATGAATAACTTCTCCCTGTCGCACCCCGAGGCCAGTTTTTAGGGCGGGCCGGGCGTTTCGCCTGAGACTACCCCACCACTTATGATTCTGAGGTTTAAAAAGTGGCAACAGTTTCACAGATGGAGGGCGGGCCGTTTTCAACATGTGGCTCTCGCGCTAGCGCGGCGTACATTCATTTTCGGAAATTGCAAGAGCTTCATGGATTGAGGGTGGGCCGTTTTCAAAATGTGGTTTTCGCTTTAGCGCGATGCACATTCGTGCTCGAACATTGCACGGGCTTCACTGATTGAGGGCGGTTCCTTTTCAACATGTGGGTCTCGCCTGAACACCGTGCACATTCGTTTACACAAATTTCAAGAGTTTCACGGCTTCCCATCATCAACGTACCAGAAGTAATGGTTTGGACGGATCCAGGATTATGCGGATGCAACAGTTACGTTGATTCTCTGGGTTGGAGCCCTCGAAATGGCGTTCTGGCACGACCCAGGATCGTCAAGACGCAACAATCAGGTTGATCCGTGGCGTTGGAATCCCGACAGCAATGTTTTGGCATGAATCAGGGTCTTCAAACGGGTGTCTTCTAACGAGGCAGTTCCATTAATGGAAATGAGCCGTTGTGGGGGCCTATGAAGAGGGAGCTTGGAGGGAGGGTTCACTCCAACATCGTTGATGACTTGTGGGTTTACACTGGTCGTCCTCCTCCTCCTCCTCCTCCTCCTCCTCCTCCTCCTTCTCTTCCTCCTCCTCCTCCTCCTGGCTCCTCATCTGCTACCCGCTGCTGCTACTCCCTGTCTTCCTGCTGCTGCTGCTGCTGCTGCGGCCCTGGACATCCTGCTGGGCCAAGCCTTCTCAGTTCCCCCATCAAGCAGCCAGGACGATAAGTCCATTGCGTCCTGGTGGACCCTGTTGCCTGGAATCCAGTCTCCGCCCCTGACCTGTTTCTCCTGCTCCTCCTCCTCCTCCTCCTCCTCCTCCTCCTCCTCCTCCTCCTCCTCCTCCTCCTTCTTTTCCCGTCGCACACACGCTCTCTTGCCGCATTCTGGCCTGGAGGGGAAGGCGGGTGTGCCGACGCAGCCTCGCAAGCGGCCTCTGCTCCGCAGGTCGATGAACACGCGGAACATCCAGATCTCCATCGCCAAGGGGATTTGGGCCACCAGCCACGGGAATACCGGGAGGCTCCGGCAGGCGTTCCGCGACACCGACCACGTCGTCCTCATCTTCGCCGCCTCCGAGAGCCGCCAGTTTCACGGGTACGGCAGGACGGCGCCATCGTTCCTCGGCCACGCGCAGATGGGGGTCGCGTGAGGGGGGAAGGTTTCTTAGAAACGCCCTGCTTCTTAGAAGGCGCGGGCCGTGTCTGTAGATGTACTGCCCGCGCCTTCGAAGAAGCAGCCTCCTCCTAAGAAGCCGTTCCACCTCCCCCTACAGTCGGCCCCAATTGCTAGGTCGACCTTGCCAGATCGGGGGTGCCCTTGTGTCCTGTCTATCCCGACCTGTGCAGCCCGCATGTCCTTAGGTGTTCTGGGTCTACGCTTGCCGTTGGAAGGGTCTTGTGTCCACTCGCGCTTCGTAGGGCCTGGAAGCGGCAGGGCCGTTTTTGTCACCGTTTTCGAAAAAGGCTCTCTTGCAAACGGAAGCGGGAAAACATCGGCGACCGTAAACGGCAAAAAGACAGCTCCCGGAGCCGAAGCGGAGCCGGAACCGACAAGAAGACGGCGACGGAGCCGGCAACCAAACGGCGACGGAACCGGCGGCCGCAGCGGCAAAACGGAACCAGGAAGAAAGCGGTCCTGTCGCTTCCCCAGACCCCCGACGTCATGATTTTTTCATGACGCGACCCCAGAGGTCCGGACCTATTCGCCGGGACCGGTTTTTCATCCTGAGTTGTTTTTTGACGGTCCCGCGGGGGGCCGGTAAGGGCCCCCAGAGGCGGAAAATGCAGAAAAACCTTCCGTCGCGATGTTTTCATGACTCGAGGGGGTCTGGGTCCAGGGCCCGCTCAGCTCTCGCGTGCCCTGCCCAGTCCGGTGCGGCGGTGCCCCCGCGTGCGCGCCGCCCGCCCGCTCGCCCCCCCCCCGCGTGCCGTGTGCCCGCCTCCCCGTGGTGCTCGTGCCCTCCAGCGGCCTCCCGCCGGCCTCCGCAGGGCCCCCCTTAAGGGGGGTGCACCGGTGGGCGCGGGCTCGGGCCAGCTCGGGCGTCTCCTGGGGGCCCCTTGGGGCCTCTTGGGCGTCTCTCCGAGTTCGTCTGCTCCTTCCGCTGGCCAGCGCTGGTAGGCGCTAATGAGCGGTAGTGTGCGCTAACAGGGCGCGCCATGTGACACTCGAGGTTCCCGGGCAGATGCCACCTAAGGCGCGGGCTCGGGCACTCCAGGCATCAAGCAGTGGCGAAGCGTCCTGGTTCGCCGAGAGGCCTGCCAGAGAATGTTCTGAGAACCTTCTGTGGGTTGCACGGAGTGTCCTTAGAACAGTTCTGGCTGAGTCTGTTTTGTTTTAACACATGGGGTTCATGTTCTAAGAACATTGTTTTTGTTATTCGAACATGTCTGGTTTCTCAGAACATGTCGCAGTAGGCCTATAGGAATGCCGGGACGGTCGGTCCCTGCTCAAAGGTGGGGCAGCGAGGTCTGTACATGGGGCGTTGCTGACAGGGCCTCGCTTTCGAGGGTGGGAGGAGTTGCCATTTCTTCCGCGGCGGAAGGGCGGCGGAAGTAAAGCGATACTAGCTCTGCAAGCGGAAGCCGGCGGAAGCTCGGCGGAAGGCGGCGGAAGTACAGGATGCGCCCCCAAGAGATGACAACACTTGTTGCGTTCACCACATATCCAGGGCTTGGGCGTCGCGTAGTGGGGGGGTCAGCGAGCGAATAACGGTATAAAATAACTTTTTCGCTGTCGGGGGCGCCTGTCCCTGGGCGGCTGGAAAGTTTATACCCTTACGGTGGCACCGCAGGGGTATAAACTTTCCAGCCGCCCAGGGACAGGCCCCCCGACAGCGAAAAAGTTCATTCTATACCGTTCTTCGCCCGGTAAGGGGGGCGATCCAGGGGGGCGAGGGTTGCAGGAAAGGGGGCCTTCAGGGCCCCTCCAGGGGCCAATAAGGGTCCCAAAAGGGGCCTTCAGGCTTCCGAGAAGGGCACCGTTCTCTCCCCCCCCCCCCCCATTTCTCGCCCCCCTTTCGGCGACGCCCAAGCTGCCCCAGGCCCTGTCAAGCCTGGGCCCAGCAGCGGTGTACACGCATCCCTGGCTCAGGCAGGAGGGCGTGGGTACCGCTCCCAGGCCCAGGATAGGGCAGGCCTGGCTCAGTGGGTGTGTATAGATCCCGGTCTGCTAGGGGTCTCCGGAGGCCTCGTGGGTGCTTCCGTGGGCTTCCTGGAAGGGCCCTACAAAGGCCAAGAATTCTGAGGAGGAAGAGGTACCCATGCCGCAACCTTTCCCTCGGCTTCCCCTCTCGTGTGCCTCCTCGGAGGCCCTAGCCGCCGCTGGATTCGTCTTGGAATCTCTGGTCAGAGCGCACCCCAGGAAAGGTCTCGGGAGCAGCGGCATCGGTACCACTGGATTCCGACGACGACGACGCCGATCCGCGAACCTCACTCCTCCTCCTCCTCCGCCTCCGCCTCCTCCGCCTCCTCTGATGGCGTGCGTGCTCCCAACTGCGCCGCGGTCCACTCTCTCTGGCCCCTCAGTGAGCTGCACGGCGCTCGGGAATCCGTAGTCCGCAAGCCTCTTTTGTTACCCTGTTCCTCGTTCCCCTCCTCTTCATCCTCCTCCTCCTCCTCCTCCTCCTCCCTCCTCCTCCTCCTCCTCATCATCATCATATCATCATCATCATCATCATCATCATCATCATCATCATGCTGATCCTCATCCTCACCTTCACCCTCGCCCTCACCCTCCTCTTGAGAGATTCCGGCCAGCCACACTGGACCCCCCCCCGAGGAACGCAAAGTATCCCAATTGCAATAAAACATATGTACCACGCCGAAGTACGAGAACGAGAAATGTGCCGTGCAGAAGTACGAAGTACAGACGTTCAGAAATCCGAAGTGTGAGGAAAGTGTGTGAGAGAGGCTTTTGACACTATTGTTTCACAGTTCGTATGTTGTCATACTTGTTGTCATGCTTTTTCATACTAAGTTCATGTTCTTTGTACTTTGGATGTGCGTTCGTATTTTTGTCCTACCCGCACTTCCGTGTTGCACACGTCTCACACTTGCGTTTCGCAGACCTCGCCTGGCTCGTTCTTTCGATCCGTACTTCTTGTACGCTCGTGCTATCGTGTCATACGCGTATGTGTACTTGCCCATATGTTTACCAACATCGAGGGTCTCCTGGTCCAGCAGGCTTCGAAATCATGGTCCTCCCCCTCCTCTTCCTCCTCCTCCTCCTCTTTCCCCTCCTCCCCCTTCTCCTCCTTCTCCTCCTCCATGGCAGGATGGCGTGCGAACCCGACGGCTCGCTGCACACCGGCATCTGGGGCAACGATTTTGCAAGGCTAGGCCCCAATTTCCGCGTGCACTGGCTGAAGCAGTGCATGGCGAGCGCTTCCTCTGCCTCCTGCTGCGCCCTGCTCATCCTCCTCCTTTTCCTCCGCCTGCTGCTGCTGCTGCTCCTCCTTCTCCACTCCTCCTCCATTCTTCGTCCTCCGCCCCCTCCCTTCCTCCTCCGCCTCCTCCTCATCATCCGCCTCCGCCCCCTCCCCCTCCACTTCCCCCGTTTCTTCCTTCTCCTCCTCCTCCTCCTCCTCCTCCTCCTCCTCCTCCTTCTGCTCCTCTCCCTTTTCAATTCTGGAAGACCGTGGTGTGCACGGAGGACCCCGAGACGTTGGGAACTTGTGTGCGCCACTGGCAGGCAAAGGTCAACGAGCAACCTAAGCAGCAGAAGGAGAAAGCGCGGTCTCTTCCTCTGACTTCCACGCGCCCGACATCAAGCTCGTGAGGGACATCAAGAAGATCAGGAAAGAGGGCGGGCAGCGCAAGGTGGGAGGGGCCCCCACGGGCCCGAGGCAGAGGACCCCCACGAAGCTGGTTTCCCCGAAGAACTCGACCCCGACGTGACCCTCGAGCTCGTGGCGGACCCTGAGCCCGTTCAAGGCACTGCGACTAGTGAAGGCCAGCCCGAGCAGTAGCACGAGGAGCCGCCACACGGCGACGACACGCTCAGCCGCGCCAGCCTTTCACAATAGCAGCCGATGCGCCGAGTCAGCGGCAGCGGTGAGGTTGCCAATGGCTCAGCCTATCTCAGCCGGTGCCCGTGTTCCAGGCTTCCCTTGGCAGCCGGCTCCTCGCACCTCGCCCTACCCCGCCGCCGTCCCCGCAGAAGGGTAAAGGCCGCAGCAAGGGGTAAAAGGCCTCCCGGTAGTAGAACTGCGAAGGAAGTAGCACCGTTTCCGAGTGCCTTGCAGGCGCCCAGCCCGCCAGAGTGCGGGAGTGGGACTGCCTGCAGGACCAGTGCGTTTTGTGACGCGTGCGCAC